TAATGAGTCTTCCTCCAATCCTGATGCGGCATTATTCTTCATATAGTCCAGCTTCTCAGGTTATCTGCTCAGCATACAGATTGAATAAGTACAGTGAAAGGATATAACCCTGTCGCACACCTTTCCTAATTTTAAACCACGTAGCATTGGTTTGTCATACTGTAGTGACTTGCATGTTGCTGTGATGCTGGAAGTTATGTCACCGGTATTTCAAATACCAGCAGGGTCAGCCATGGTGGACAGGATTCAGTGGAGCTTCCAGACTAAGACAGACAAGGAAGAAGGACCTGGTGGTCTACTTCTGAAAAAATTGGCCAAGGAAAACTTTATGAAGAGCAGCAGAATATTGTCTGATACAGTGCGAGAGATGAGCTCCTCAAGCCGGAAGGCACTCAAAATACGACTTGGGAAGAGCTGTCTCCTCAAAATAGAGTCGATCTTAACGACATGAATGGAATAAAGTTTTTGGGACCTTCATTCGCTAACGTGGCACGACTCAAAATGAGAAGAAACAACTGCAGATGTACATTAATAATCGGAGCATGGAATGTACAAAGCATGAATCTAGGAAAATTGGAAGTTGTCAAAAATGAAATGGAACACATAAAGATTGATAACCTACACATTAGTGAACTGAAATGGACTGGTATTGGCCATTTTGAATCGGACAATCTTATGGTCTACTATGATGCGAATGACAAATTGAAGAGGAATAGCGTCGCATTCATCATCAAAAAGAACATTTCAAGATCTGTCTTGAAGTACAACTCTGTCAGTGATAGGTAATACCCATATGCCTACAAGGAAGACCAGTTTATATGACTATTATTCAAATGTAAACACCAACCACTAATGCCAAAGATGAAGAAATTGAAGATTTTTACCAACTTCTGCAGTCTGAAACTGATCAAACATGCAACCAGGATGCATTGATAATTACTGGTGATTGGAATGCAAAAGTTGGAAACAAAGAAGAAGGATCTGTAGTTGGAAATTATGGCCTTGGTGACAGAAACTACACCAGAAATCGCATGGTACAATTTTGCAAGACCAACAACTTATTCATTGGAAATACCTTTTTTCAACAACATAAATGTCAACTATACATGTGGACCTCACTGGATGGATACACAGGAATCACCTCGACACCATCTCTGTTCAAACAACTGTCTCTTGGTCTACGTACAGGTTCCCCATAAGCACAATTAAGTGTTCTGGAATTCCCATTCCTCACAATGTTATCCATTATTCGTTATGATCTACATAGTAGAATGCCTTTGCATGGTCAATAAAACACAGGTAAATATCTTTCTAGTACTCTCTGCTTTCAACCAAGATCCATCTGACATCAGCAATAATATCCCTAGTTCCACATCCTCTTCTGAATTCAGTTTGAATCTCTGGCAGTTCCCTGTTGATGTACTGCTGCAATCATTTTTGAAAGATCTTCAGCAAAATTTTACTTGTGTGTGATATTAATAATATTGTTCAATGACCTCCGCATTCTGTTGGATCACCTTTCTTTTGAACGGGCACAAATATGAATCTCTTCCATTTGGTTGGCCAGGTAGCTGTCTTCCAAATTTTCTTGGTATAGACACGTGGGCCCTTCCAGCATTGCATCTGTTTGCTGAAATATTTCAACTGGTATTCCGTCAATTCCTGAAGTCTTGTTTTTTTGTCAATGCCTTCAGTGCAGCTTGGACTTCTTCCTGGTTCTTAATCATATGCTACCTCTTGAAATGGTTGAATGGCGAACAATTCTTTTTGGTGTATTCCTTCCATCTTCTTTTGATGCTTCCTGCGTCATTCAATATTTTTCCCATAGAATCCTTCAATATTACAACTTGAGACTTGAATTTTTTCTTCAGTTCTTTCTTGAGAAATGCTGAGCATGTTCTTCCCTTTTGGTTTTCTAACTCCAGGTGTTTGTATATTTCATTATAATACTTTTCTTTGTCTTCTCTAGCTGCCCTTTGAAATCTTCTGTTTAGCTCTTTTACTTCATTATTTCCTCCATTCACTTTAGCTACTCTACATTCAAGAGCAAGTTTGAGTCTCTTCTGACATCCATTTTGGTCTTTTCTTTCTTTCCTGTCTTTTTAATGACCTTTTGGTTTCTTCATGTATGATGTCCTTGATGTCATCCCACAACTTGTCTGGTCTTTGGTCATTAGAGTTCAATGAGTCAAATCTATTCTTGAGATGGTCTCTAAATTCAGGTGGGATACACCCAAGGTTGTACTTTGGCTCTCATGAACTTGTTTTAATTTTCTTAGGCTTCAACTTGAACTTGCATATGAGCAATTTATGGTCTGTTCCGTAGTCAGCACCTGGCCTTGTTCTGACTGATAATGTTGAGCTTCTCCATTGTCTCTTTCCATAGATGTGCTCGATTTGATTCCTGTGTTTTCTACCTGGCATGGTTCACATATATAGCTGCTATTTGTGTTGTTGAAAAAGGTATTCCCAATGAATAGGTTGATGGTTTTGCAAAATTCTATCATGCAATCTCCAGTGTTGTTTCTATCACCAACGTGATATTTTCTATCTACTGATACTTCTTTGTTTTCAACTTTAGCATTCCAATCACCAGTAATTATCAATGCATCTTGATTGCATGTTTGATCAATTTCAGACTGCAGAATTTGGTAAAAGTCTTTAATGTCTTCATTTTTGGCATTAGTGGTTGGTGTATAAATTTGAATAATAGTTGCATTAACTGGTCTTCCTTGTAGGTATATGGATATTCTCCTATCCATGACAGTGTTGTATTCAGGATAGATGTTGAATTATTTTTTTTGACAATGAATGTGACACCATTCCTCTTCAATTTGTCATTCCTGGCATAGTAGACCATATGATTGTCTGACTCAAGATGGCCAATACCAGTCCCTTTCCGCTCACCAATGGCTAGGCTATCAGTCTTTACACGTTCCATTTCATTTTTGATGACTTCCAATTTTCCTAGTTTCATACTTCATACATTCCACATTCCGATTATTAATGGATGCTTGCCGCTATTTCTTCTCATTTTGAGTTGTGCCACATTAGCAAATGAAAGTCTCGAAAGCTTTACTCCATCCATGTCATTAAGGTCGACTCTACTTTGAGGAGGCAGCTCTTCTCCAGTCCTATTTTGAGTGACTTCTAACCCGAGGGGCTCACCTTCCAGCACTATATCAGACAGTATTCTGCTGAATATGAATATAAGGTTTTCACTGGCCAATTTTTCAGATGTAGAACCCCAGGGCCTTATTCCTTGCCTGTCTTACTCTGGAAGCTCCACTGAAACCTGTCCACCATGTGTGACCCTGCTGGAATTTGAAATACCGGTGGCATAGCTTCCAACATCATAGTAACACACAAGCCACCACAGTACAACAAACTAACAGACTTAGTTTTTCATCTGCTCTAATAATTAATAGAGATTGCATATTTTTCTGAGTATAAGACATGAACAAAAAATTCCAACATACTAATAAAAACAAATGCTTGAAAAAACGTTCAAATCTCTTAATATTTATTTGAGAACAATGTTACCAAAACCAAACTGTTGCCATGGAGTCAATTCTGACTCATAGTGACCGTACAGGATAGAGGAGAACTGCCCCATAGGGTTTCCAAGGCTGTAATCTTTATGTAAGCAGACTGCCACATCTTCCTCCCGTGGAGTGGCTAGTGGGTTCTAATCACTAACCTTTATGTTAGCAGGTGAGAGCTTAACCACTGCGTTACCAGGGCTCCTTGAGAACAATGTTACATCTGCTTAGTGATATTTAATGCTGGCAGTCTCCATAATGTTGATGGGAGCATAAAATGGCATATAACTATTGAAAAGTAATTTACCAACCTACACCAGGAAGCTTAAATTGTTAGTATCTTTTGACATAGCAATTTCATTTCTGGGTTTCTATCTTAAGGACATAATCATAAATGCATAGAAAATGTTAAATTTCGACTCTCCTCTCCATGATTTTCTCCTCCTATACCCACCCCACTCATTTCCTAGCAGCAGTAATGACTGTTCCCCCAACTGCCACACACATTGCCCCCCTAGCCTGTGCTCATGCTGTTCCTTGTGCCAGAGCTGCCAATTTCAAGTTCCCATGTTTGCCAAGCCTCAAATGTCCCCTCACCCTATTTCTATGACCTCCTAACACCATGTAAAATGATGTAGGTCTATGTTCTCCTTCCAGTCTAGAAACCCCTTATACAACAACTCTGTATCTCCTAGAGTCTACTACGAAGACCTACGAAGACCTGTTGCCATCGAGTCACTTCTGACTCATAGCGACCCTGTAGGACAGAGTAGAACTGCTCCATAGGGTTTTCAAGGAGCGGCTGGTGGATTTGAACTGTTGACCTTTCCGTTAGCAGCTGAGCTTTTAACCACTGTACCACCAGGGCTCCCTGTGCATAGCAGATGCTTAATAAATCACTGCTGCTGGTTTCCATTCTGAGCTGAGCTAACCTGACCTGAATGGAATTGATATCTAAGAGGAGAGAAGCTAGACACTTGGTTGAGCAGAGCAAACTAGCCCACAGATTTCTCATAGAACTCAAGTAGGTATATCCATTGTGATAAGCCAGAGTTAAATAAAAAGAGCACTATTTAGCTTTACATCTCAACTGCCCATTCAAATTATTTATCCGATATTGCAGTGAGGCAGAGGATTATCAGGGAAAATGCAAGCCTCTGTCATCAAGGAGACTTAAGTTTAAGTCTTAGCTCACCCTTTTCTATCTGCATGACCTTGGACAAGTTAGCCTCCTTCTAAGCCTCAGTTTCCTCATCTTTAAAATGGAGATACGTGTCCACCTTATGGAATTGTTGTTGGGAATAAATAAGACAACAAATGCCTGGCAGAAAGCAAATGATCTATAAACAATAGCTATTATGAGATTAGTATTTTAAACTCAAAGGAAAAATCTTAACTAGGGAAAAAAGATTCTAAGTTTTTAAATGTTATTTTCTAGTTGATATTTGCAGCACTTACCAACTCCATATTTATTCTTATAATAACACTTCGTAAATTCATCACAGTTGCAAAGGAGCACTTTTCTTCCCCACACATTGATGGTGGTTCCTACCGCCAGGTCACTATCTTTGTAAAACTCCTGGTCTAATTTTCCTAACTAATAAAAACAAAGGAACACAGCATTGGCACCACAAAGTCTGTAAGGAACAAGGTACCCCTTCCCAAAGGAAAAAAGAAATTAAAAGAAAAAACCTCAATTATATCATTTATAAACAAATCCTTGAAATCAAATCAAAAAGCAGGCAGTCAATGATAACATTTTAAAACTTTTTGAAACGTATTATTTGCAAATAGCAATGCAATGCATACACTGATATATGCATTTAAGTATGTTTATTCAATGATAAACAGTGCAATGCATATATTTATGTTTTTTTCATAGATTCCATTCACAATCAATCTCACAAGAAAAGAATATGTACCTCACCCTACAGTTCAGGTTCCCAGGAAGTCACAATGGAAAACAGTAATAAAATATGAAGTTCCTCACCTGGTATTTATCCAACAAGTAGCCATTCACTTGTTTCACTGACCAGCCCCCATACATATTGAGAACTGTCTGATCTGTTATCTGGCCTGGTTGATAGATTCCAGGTGGGCCATACTAGAAGACAAAATCAAAACATGTGATAGATAGCCTCTAACCACAAAGATGGAGCTGTTGAAGGGCTCAAGTGGGAAACATGCATTGCATGGCTTTTCTCTGTCAGCTGGAGGAAAATATACATTCCATCCACCTCTCTCTATGCTTCCATACCCCCTGTACACCAGCCTACACTCCACCCATCCTTCAAGGCCCTGATAAAGCCCCATCTTTCCCCCTTCCCCTCCCCATCCTACTGGCCTGTCCCCAATCCCAACCTCAAATGCACCTCCCACAAGGCTAAACCATTTTTTGTGGTTCTCTAATTGCTTCATCAGAAGTCACCTTTTCTCTTTACTGAACTACAAAACTCCCTGAGGAACCACTCATGTCTTGCGTCTATTCTTTATTCTGCTTAGCCCCCTGCCTGACCCTGAGTTCACCAAGTGCTTGCTGGCCGAGAGGCAGTGTGGTGAGAGAGAAATAGTAGTAGGCTGGGGTCAGTCTCTCACATAAATGGTGGCCTGGAGCAAATCCTTCATGTCTTGGAAGTGGTCCAAGCAGTTGTGTGAGCTGTGGGAAACATCTTAATTAACTTCTATAAATTGATAGTGATCAGTTTATCACATTCAGATGAGTGATCTGAATCATCCCTGATACATGTGGCATAAAATGTAAGCTTAAATGTGTAAATTGTATGGTGCATGTGGTGTCAGTCAGTCATAGAAGGTAGAAGAACAATAAACTTGGATGAAAGCTCTCTCTTCACCACTAATAACTACATGATTTGGGGCCAAGTATTTACCTTCCCAGAATGTCAGTTTCCTCATCTGTTTAACTGCAACAACAGTACTTATTTGATCCTTTCTCAAAGGATGTTGTGAGTGTCAAGGCAACAACCACTCCTATTGTATCTCTCCTCCACGAGAATCTAAGCTCCACGAAGCAGGACATAATCCATTTTCTTCATCACTGTAACCCCAGAGCTGGCACAGTTAGCACTCAGTATTTGTTGAATGAATGAATAAAATGAGGCGATTTATATGAAGGCACACTGCAAATGTCAGGTGTGTCATTATTATTTTATATTTAGCCTCTTCTTCAAAGCCAATCTTAAAAAAGACTTCCCTGGCATCTCCTGGACACCTGCTGTGCATTTCCCAGAGCTCCCTCTGGGACAAATGCTGCCTCCCCTTGGTCCCTAAGCAACACAGCAGGACTTCTGGCGGTGGGCTCAGAGAATCTGGGAGAACCTCCTGCAAGGACCAAATGGCCAGCGGTTGTTTGCATCAGAAATGAGTGTGACAATAACCTTTTCAGTAGCACTAAGAATTACGTAAAAAAAAAAAAAAAAAGTTATCCACATGAGAACTAAAACATAACATAGAACTGTGAAAAAACTTTTATATTTTTATGTGTCCTTACAGATGTTTATAGGTCTTTATATGGTGTTTTTTAACTATACTACCTCGTTCCTCCCCTATAATTAGCTCAGGAGGAAGGCATTGTTAATGGCGTTTTAGAGATGGGGAAATAGGCTCAGAGAGGCTAAATGGCTTGCCCAAGGTCACACAGCTATTAAGTGGCAGACTCACAATTCTAACTCAGGTCTTCTGTCTTTGTGCCATTTCTACAGCATCCAAGTTATATTAGTTCTCATGTGGCCATATATATTTGGAGAAATCAATCCAACAATTCTTTTTAATAAATAGTAAATAAATTGCAAAATCTGTCATTGCTGTTAGCCAGTGGCTAGTTGGGGATTGGTTGCTACACTCAGAAATCACTCCTATGTGTGTGTGTGTATGTGGATACATGTATGTGCATGTATATGTGTGTGTATTTGTGCGTGCATTTATAACAGTGACCAGCACATGGAATCTCCTCAGTAGGCTGCAGAAGCCAAAGGCCAGTGCCCCAGTCCAAGGTCATGAGCAATTCTTTTACTAGGGATGATAAGTAAGCACTTTCTCTTGCATTTGCCTTTTTCCTTTACTTGCCTTAAGCCCAGAATGTTCCAACTCCAATTTGTCATATCCTCTGTATTACTTTCATGGATTTATATTAACAAAAAACCAAACCAGTTGCCATCAAGTCAATTCCGACTCATGGCGACCCCACATGTGCAGTGTAGAACTGCGTTCCATAGGATTTTCAAGGCTGTGACCTTTTAGAAGCAGATCTTCAGGCCTTTCTTCCAAGCTGCCTCTGGGTGGGTTCAAACCACCAACCTTTCGGTTAGTAGTCAAGCACTTAACTGTCTGCACCACCCAGACACAAAATTCAAGTTTTCTAAACACTTGCACTCATATAACTGCCATCACATATTCATAACACTTGACACATTACACAGTGACTTGAGTCTTTCAGCCCACAAGCAAACTCAGAAAGTGGCTCTGCATCCACTGTTCACCTTGGGTAGCTTTCTCCTCCGGATGAACAATGACGAAATATCCCGGCCTGAGTTGGGTGGATTCAATTCTTTGACTTCCATGGTATCATCAGACAAAAAGTAATGCAGGACGAGTTCCCTACGGTCCCCAAACATTGAGGCTGTGTCGTCCCACAGGCCGAAGAAACGCAAAATCTGCCTATCATGGTCGAGGAACTGTTTCAGGGTGTCGGTGTACTGATAGGGACGTAAGGGCTCCACGTGCTCTAGCTTCTGCAAATGGAGAGAAGGTAAATAATTGTTCTGGGTTTTGCATAACCACTTTTGGGATGCAAGCAATCAAATGACATAAAGATATCTTTTCTATAGACTATTCTGGTGTTTTTTAAAATTTCAAATGACTATGACATACATGTATATGTACATATAACCAGTTTTAACCATAAAAATAGAGACAAACCAGTATTAGGAAGCTTTTATATTAAACATTATTTCAGTATACATCTGCAATATTTTTGAAAACTGACTTTTCTTAGTTGAAGACTTAACATTCTCATTTAAGAACAGGCAAAACTAATCTATGACAATAGAAATTAGAATAGTAATGGCCTCTGGACAGAGGATTAACCGGAGAGGGGGACGAGGGAATTTTCTGGAGTGATGGAAATATTCTATACCTTGATTTTCGTGTTGGTTACTCAGTTGTTTACATTTTCCAAGTCACTGATCACTTAAGATTTTTGCATTTGATTCTTTATTAATTATATTTCAACAAAAAATGTCTTTGTCTTCTCTCTAGAAATTCTTATCTATATATCCTTCTTACTCATTCCAAGGTTTTCATGAAGGTAAAAGGGAAGAAATATATTCAAGGTTTTATTTTGCTCAAAAAGTTTGAGATATTGAGGATACAAAAGCCCAGTGGAAACTTGAGTAGAGAAAATGGAGAACTTTCAGATCAGCACAGAACTATTATCTAGGCTTCATCCTCTGCCCCAGGAACCAGTAGCTCAGCAGTCTTCATGATACAACTCTTTCCTCTCTTTATATATTCTCAGCCCAGTATTAGAGCAAAACTGCCCCCATTCTATCTGACTGTAGCTAAGGAAGATTGTTATATAAGGAAGTATACATTGGAAAGGGAGATGTATATCCCCAATTTGAGTTATGCAATCTTATTGGGAAATCCTTGAAATTTTGTATCTGTCCAGCACCGTCTAGGTTCAGTCTTACTCAAAGGCAGGGGAGAGACCAAATCTCCCCAGTCTTATCCTGGCTATTAAAATGAAATTATAGGACCTCTACTTTCATCGTTTGAAAAATGTTTCTTTGACGTTATAAGGCTCTACGAAATGCATTATTGATTATATATAGCATTGTGACTCTTTTCAGTTTAAGTTGCTTAATTTTAACTTTACATTTCAAGGCAGCAAACACTAGAGAAGTAAATGCACAAAAGTCAATATAAAAGCCTCCTATTAAACTCCTAATTTTCCACAGATTTTGACATTTATTGAAGGGTTTTCTCCCTTAGGAAATAAATGCTAAAATGATTCTCCCAATTTGAAAGGAAATTATTTAAAATATTTCTTGGTTGTTATTGGTACTTACTCTCAATTCCTGGCAGAAAATAGATTTTTTTTCTTTAGAAACCTATGAAATACCACAGTGCTCTATGCATTTCACATATGCATCATCATTCAAAATCACTATCATGTCATACCAACTGTTAATGAATACAGCCATATGTAAAGGATGGTAATTCATATGGACTTACTTCTTTTAGGTTCTTCCTGCTGGTTCTAAAGACTTTGTATTTACATACACTTCTTCACCCAGGGCATTTGGAGAAAACATAAACAAACCCAAACCAAAAATCACCTTGCACGCTAATACACATAGGTATAATGCCACAGGAATTTCACTTCAGATATTCCAGGATCAATAATATATATTTCTCAGTAGGGCTGTATGTCTACAACACTAAAGAATAACTGCTGGGACTAGGATCATAGATGAATGATCCTACATGCAGCTTTTAACAAGAGATCAAAGCAGAATCAAAGAAGAATTTTATTCTAAATTTTCTGTTTTCTTTCCGCAAGGAAATGAATTACAAAGTTTAAAAACAATAAAAATCAAACAAAACTAACTATGGGGATAGAAATGTGAACAGTGGTTGCCCCTAGGTGGGGAGAGGGATTGATGGGAGGAGGCATGAGGGGAACTTTCTGGGAGGATACAAATGTTCTGTATCTTGATTTGGGTGTGGGCTACATGGATATACGCATTTTTCAAGACTCAGCCAATTGTACACTTAATTTCTGTGCATTTTACTATACGTAATCATACTTCAATATAAAGGGAAACAAACGACAATAACGAAAATCAGGATAAAAATCAAGAGATTTGAGTTCAAGTCCAAGCAAGGAGACTGAATAACTGTGTGAGTTTCCAAATGACACTTTACGTTTCCAGTGTTCAGATTCTTCTTCTGTAACATAAAATTTGGGCCAATAGATCATTTAAAAACATTCAAAAGACAACAATAATACTAATAACACTGATTCTTTCCTCTCTACATTAACTGGGGTCAGACTTTGAAGACAAGCATCCTTTTATAATGGGGATACATCAGAATCATGTCCGTCCTCGTTCCTCCAGAACATCTCCACATACAGTGCCACTGAAGAGGAGCCAGGAGTTCCAAGGAAGAAGGAAAAGATTTACTTGAGGCTTGGTTCAGTAAATCAGTCATAAGACACACAGATTTTTCAGAGTCAGGATCTATGCAACTAAAATGGGAAAAGACAAGCCAAGCAAGTGTCGGCCCAATCTGACACTGTCAGTGACCACAAAGTCCATCATGGGCTCCTAGAAATTGTGCCACTTTAGTAGCACACTGAAGGCTCCTACTGCCTGGAAGGAAGTCTGTCCATGGGGGGTAAGGGGGAGAGTGAGGGAGTCGTTCCTGTTCTGAGGCTGACACCCACCCTTTCCCTCTAGCCCAAAGGAGAGCAGGACACAGAGTAACTATGGCCCCAAAAGCTCTTTCACACTTGGCTTCAGGAGCACCAATACCTTTTACTGACTCTCCAAAGGGTTTTTCATTCTGAAGGCCAGAACTCACAAATGTATTAGCTTCTTACCTCTTTCCGTGCTTTCATATAAGGATCTTCTGGGCACTTTCCCGGTGGGTTTAATTTGACTCCTATTTTCCTCAAAAAGTTTTTTGTGAATACATCACAGTCATAAATCTTGAACGTCCGGCCATAAAAGACAATGTCTATGTTGATATTGAAATGATACACAGTATAAAACTGATCGTCATCAGGAGGTGGGAGACAAATCCGATGACGCCGGATAAAAGTCCCTATGGCATAAATTAGAATAAAATTGTTTCATCACGCAGCTAATAAGAGGTTACAGCACATCTCTGTAATAACCCTGAATGCTCTCCTCCTTCAGGGAACTGGACAGAGGGCTGGCTCATTCTTAGAGGCAGCACTAGTACAGTCAAACCATAAGGCGGCCAGATGCCTGTTTGCTTCTCCTCAGAGAATTTGGACTTAGGATCCCCAAGTACAACCAAAATGGTAGTTCGCCACTAGAGGTAAAAGGGTTCCCTGCTTAGATGAGTGTACTAACTATACCACACCATGTCAGCCAAGTTACTCAAATATTGCTTAAACCTGTTGTCAAGAATTGTATAGGGTCTGAGATTTCATCCTACCTACAAGCTAAAAAGTTAGCCTGTCACAGTTTTATGAATGCCGGTAGAAGACATGAGATGCTTTGGTCATAGACAAAGGACAGTTTATTACTCACAGCAATAACAGTAGCCATAATATCAGCATTTTCTGCACCAGTTCTCTGAGCCCCAATTCCCACAGGGTGACACAACAAGGGTCAGGTAACACCTGCACACACAGTGAGTTATATTACAGGAGAGGAATCCTAAGCTTAGGGGATCCGAATCTTTCATAATGGGCAATAAGCATGCCTGCCTTTTGCCATAGAGGGAGAAATTATCTTCATTATACTGCACAGTAAGCATGTCTGCCCTCTATTCTGGAGAAAGACACTACTTCTATCTTCCAAGGCTATAAGCAAACCTGCACTTTGCTCCAGAGGAGAGACTATCTCTATCTTCCAAGGTTATTTGTAACCTTTGAAGAGATAGTCCAAAACAAAGAGCAGTCAGTGCTTCTGCTCGCAAGAAGTACAGAAATGCAAGATACTCATTGAGAATTGTCTCTCAGAACCTGTAACTGACTTAGTCCTGAAAATCTACTCCAAGAGCAAAGGGAAAAGGAAAGAAGGGAAGTAGGAAAAACTAAGAATCTAATGCTTTGATAAAAGTTGGCTTGTATGACCTCTGTATGGAGGTATATTAGTAGAAAGATGTCAACTTATCTTCTTCATATTTTATGTAGCACTGAGAATGGTGCCTTTTCCCAAAGTCTAGAAATACTTGGAAATTATACATCCTTTATTCATTAAGGAGCATTTAATGAATATCTTTATGTGTCAGGACTGTGCTGGGCTCTGTTCCATTATTCTACTTACCATCTTCTCATTCTGTTGAGAGGAAATTAACTAAAATCATTTTCATCTTCTTTTCTTTGTAGCAATTTTTAATTAGTCGGTACATTAAATTAAAATAATAAAACTATAAAATTAGAACTGGCCTAGAATGTTTTTAAGTGTACTACATAAAAAATGATATAATTTTACTGCAAAAAATTATACCTCAATTAGCCTTTAATTCATGCGACTGAAAACAGAATGCAAATTATTTAACCATTCAAGATTAGACATTTAGAACAAATTGCATACTTAAATATCTATAAAAGGATGGACATTTCAGGTATTTTCAGGAACCATCATATACCTCTTTAAAAAATGCTTATATTGTGAGTTTTTAAAATATAGAAGATTTATTCAACAGCCAGGAGCTTCTTCAGAAATTCCATCTATCTTGCATTTGTACTTCATTACAAAAATTCAAATAAGTATGTTAGTGCTGATTTCTTTTCAGTAAGATTTGGCATAGGAATCCTACATTTTCCTAGGAGGGAAAAACTAGCCAACCCGCTGGGCCTTTAAATCACCATCATCATAATCATCTTAGCCTAGGATGTGCTTTCATATACATTTTCTCATGTAATCCTCAATAATCCCATGAGGCAGGTAATACATGTAATATATTCAGTTTATGAATGAGAAAATCAGTGCTTAGAGTGGTTAAGTGACACGCCCAAAGTCACACCCTAATAAATGGCAGAAACAGATCTTGAATCTGGGTTAATACCCTACTTCCCATAGTTTCCACTGAACTGTGTCTCACTGTACTGCAGCCGCAGATGATTTAAGTGAAGATAAGAAGGGAGAGCCAGAGGAAAAATAGGATAGAAATGGGTAGAAGAGCTGCCAGTCACCATGAAAAGGAGATAGATGGAGCTGCTCTTCTAAAAAAACAGCCTCTCTTTCTCTGACAGCAAATTTGCAGCCAGGGCTTACTTGCCAGCAGCAGCAATCCCTCCTCCAGGGACAGCCCCACTGAATTACCCTCCCCTGCCAGGAACTTACATATCTCAGACCCCCACACTCTTATCTTAGCCCCACACTTTTCTTACTAGAAGGTTCTCAGAAGAGGCCAGGGAAGTTCTTTGTGTTAACAAAAAAGAGTCTTGGCCATCCATGGGTTGGAAAGAGAAGGCAGGTCTAATACTAAACAAGGAAATTTGAATACCAAGATATCCAAAGTCACAATTCCACGTTAATAAGAAAACTAATGTGGGCCATTTGAAATGTACAGTTGCATATGACAGATTTCAATAATATATTCGTGGGATCTCTCAACTGTGTCTTTTGGGAATTAAAATTTCTATTTAGTGGTATTTGTGTGCTTTCAGTCTCCCACGATAAATGGCAGAAACTCCACCAGCAGGAGTTTGTTCTGGAATACCAAAGAAATGGGCAGGGTGCCATGTCTTTGGCACACATTAAAGAGCAGCTGAGATCTTCAAGGTATATAAATAAAAATAATGTTAAAAATGGAAAAACAACAACAAAAGCACCATATCTGCCCTTTAAATTTTCAGATGTTTATCTTTTTAACTATCATATAAAGACAATTTGGGCAGATGTACAGGCATCAAGTGCCTGCTTTCAAACTCTTCCTTATCTTCATATGTTACATCTCTCTTCTTTTTTAAAAGCACTGCTATCTGATCATACTCTGCAAGCTTTAACTTTCTAACATTTCCCTATGGTTTAGATCAAAGTGACTATATATCCATTTATGTTTAATGTGTTTTCATTTCACTCAGTTGGGACTTGCCGTAGAGCTTTGCTCATACCACTAAATTTAGTTTTTAGGAATGCACCTTCCAGAATTAAGATCCCAACTTATTTTATCTTAACTTTAAGTATGTTTATTTCATTTTAGTAATATTGCAGACCTAGGGTACATCCAAGTCTGGATGCAGGTATTTCCAGGTGAATGAATATACAAATAGAATTGGCACTTGTCATCATGTCTCCTAAGCTTGTATCCTAAAAATACTAAGACACTTACCTTGATCAGACATGAAATAGCATCTTCTCCTCCTCTTGTGTTCGCTATTATTCCTTCACTAAAATGACTATTCCATTTTTATTTTTCTACAATACCCCCTTTGGAGTTTTGGTTTCATAGGAATAATTTTTTTTCTAAAATAACTTGGCACCTACCTTACAGTAAAAGAATAAAAAATTCACACCTCTGATTATAATAATAAAAAACAATAACCTCATATATTCCCCCCCATTAACCACTGATAAGCACCAAAATGATAGCATCTTAGGTGCTCTAATGTCCTCTGTATTATAGCCTCTTGCCTAGTTTTCTTACACACTCCATGCTTTCCTCCCCAAATACCTTCCAACAACTCACCCTACCACTTCCCACCTCTCTATCTCATGCTGTTCCTTTTGACTGCTCTGTCTTTCTTTTCCATCTCTATCTAGACAAACCTTCAAAGTACAACTCAAATGCCTTCTTCTCTAGTAGATACTGCCTTTTCCTCCACTTTTGTGACACTGTCTCAGTCATCTAGCGCTGCTCTAACAGAAATACCACAGGTGGATGGCTTTAACAAAGAGAAGTTTATTCTCTCACAGTCCAGTAAGCTACAAGTCCAAATTCAGGGCATCAGCTCCAGGGGAATGCTTTCTCTGAAGGTCCGTGCCATCATTCTTCCCTTGGTCTGGGAGCTTCTCTGTGCAGGAACCTCAGGTCCAAAGGACGCGCTTTGCTCCCGGCACAGTTTTCTTGGTGGTATGAAGTTCCCCTGTGTCTCTGCTCGCTTCTCTCTTTTATATCTCAAAAGAGACTGGCATAAGACACTATCCAATCTTGTAAACCTCATCAGTATAACTGCCGCTAACCCATCATATTAGATGACAGTGATTGAATTTACAACATGTAAGGAAATTACATATAACCTCATCATACTGATAGGTTTACAACACCTAAGGAAATCACATATAACCTCATCATGGCGATAGAGTTTACAACACATAAGGAAATCACATCAGATTACACAATCATACAATACTGGGAATCATGACCCAGCCAACTTGACAGATATTTTTGGGGGACACAATTCAATCCATGACAGACACCATTTATGATGCCTGCATGGTATTGTGGACATTGTCTACCACTTTCCCTACCTCCCTTCCCCGCTCTCGTCCTTCCTTTCTTTCCTTCCTTTCACAAATACTTATTGTGCAGCCACCATGCACTAAGTTCCTCTCTTTATAGCCTAGTGCCTTATCTCCACTCTTAAATTCTAAGCTACTCCATTCAGTGACAGTTCCCTCTCCAAAGTCCACCACCTAGGATTGCCAAATTTTAATAAATTAAAATACAGGATGTCAAGTTAAATTTGCATTTGTATAAACAACAAATAATTTTTAGTGTAAGTATGTGCCATGGAATATTTAGGACATAGTTATACTAAAAACTTACCTGTTGTTTACCTGAAATTCAAACTTAAGTGGGAATCCTACTTTATCCAGCAACCCTACCATCATTCCCTCTTCACTCTAAGGGGTGTAGTATCTAGATATATTATATACCCAATATAATTACTGGATGAATGAATGATTCTATTTTGTGATTATATTTGCTTGATTCAGGTAGACTGCTTTAGAATATTTTTAAAAAGTATAAGAAATACTACCATACTGAGGGGCCAAAACAAGTCATTAGTGGAGATCAGTGTTCTTAACCAAAATGAACTAAGAACCATCTGGAAGCTAGTTCTTGACACCAGGCCCCAGAAACAGAAATTCTAGGGATGGGCCAGGAGATTCTGATGA